GATGCAAGGTGTATCTATGCATCAAAAATGTTCAAATAACATGACCATTGGCCTAGTAATCAATTTCCTTGACACATAGAAGCAAGAGATGTCATATATCGTGAAACCCAGTTTGAAAAGGGCCATTTGCATATTAGAATAAACCTATTCGTATAGGAATTAAAACAGATTTGTTAATTCACGTTTTATGGCACCACGCAGTTGGGGATAAAAATTTGTTGCAAGCACATTTAGTTACGTTACCGTTAGCACTTTTACGGTATAACTGATGAAATCGACGAAAATCCGCCGTAATCGAGACAAAAAACAAATAGCGAGGAACAGGAGTGACTGATCTTATTCCCTCATGAAGTCAGTGTGGCAGTTTATACCAAGTTTGAGATAGCAGATTTAGCTTTTCACAATGAAGGATGAGTATTTGTTGCGCATTCGATGTTTATGTGCAAGAATATGAAAAATTTAATGAACTTACTCATTTATCAAAGATTTAATCGTGAATGGTCTTTGTCGATTACTGAGAAGCCCTCGTGACCGAAGGAGTATCACTCAAAATTGGCTGACACCGCATTGCCTGAGCTTTCGGCCTAACCAAGGTTGACTGCAGATAGGTGTTTCTTAATCCGGATATTCAATAACTAGAGGGCTTGACACTGATTCAGTTGGGTGTCTTCAGCCTTGAATTAAGTAATGTGCTACAGTGCCAACAATTAGCCCCTTAACGGAAACGTCAAATCGTATTTCGAGCACATAGGCTACATCATTTTTTCATGAATTCCATTACACTTTTGCTGACGAAGTTTCTAATTTGATAACTTTGATGTACGTATGTACCAGATGTACTTGTTACATGTTGTTTAATGACAATCCATGCTCCGGCAGTTTATTGCGTGTTCCTTTTATGCAAATGAAGTGCATCTGTTTATTTTTGCACAGCTAGAAGTTGCTAAAACTGGCTACATTTATATGCGTGATTTCGTTAAATTGTTTCCCAACATGTTTGATTTGCAGGTTCAGTAAAGCCAGCGGGACAACATTCAGTTCGATTGCATCAGCAAGCGGTAGTGGCAGCGCATTTTCTGGTTTTGGTATGCCGCAGCCTACCACGCCACCAAAATCTGCTCTGTTTACTCAGTGGCGAGGCTAAAGCAAAGCTCTCTTGGTTTGTAGCGGATCATGATTCATTCGGTGGCCTGTAGATCCGCCAACTTATAATTTTGATTCATATTTGTTTATATTTGCGAAAGAGTTGGTTGTGTAACGCATAAAACGATCAATAAATGTTTATTTTGCGACTGCGGCTTTTTGTTAGCTTCTATATTGACTGATTGCTGAACGTTTTAAATTTTTTTTAAGTAATTGCAGTATCTGAAGAAGACATGGCTTTGCGGAAGGCGCTTCAGATGCATTATCAGCTGTTGTCCAGTGTAACTACGCATGATGCAGTATTAAGACATGTGGGTGTTCTGCTGCAACTACGCATGACGTTTGGTACGACCGAAGCTGTGACAGCATTGCGACCGTTCTATTTTCTCGTTCACCCTGATTTCTTCGGCCGGTATCCAGAAGTGCGACTAGTGAACGAGAATTCGCTGAAGTCGTTAAACAATTATTTGGATTCGCTGATCCGTGGAAAACCCGTTTGCTCGGCAAAGAAACTTACTTTCTACTTGCGTAGCAAAGCATCGCCTTCTGAAATGCTGTCGAGCGACAGCGACGGTTGCCGACTTAAAACCGTTTCTATTGTATTGTCCCACAACGATCCGTACTCTCTGGTTCGATGTGTTCTCGAAACCTGCTCGTTATCAACCGAGAGTTTGTTGAAGACTGAGAGCCGCAATGCCACTGCGAAGTATGTTAGCGTGAATTATCGGCATTTATAGCATGAGATATCACTACTGTTTCTAAGCACTGCTAGCCTTTAATGACGATGGTGCGATGTTGTTCCCCCATAGAAATTCGAAACGATTGCATCAAGTTAGCCGTGAAAATGATTAAAAGGAAGATTGCAAGTCATAGGTCATGATTTGCTTGATCAACCGGCGCCGAAGCAAGAATCTTTTGGTAGTAAGCTTCTTCATCGCAGTAAATGCATGCAACGGTGCGCTGGTTCTGTTTGTTGAGACCATTCCCTTGTGAACCAGTTGCATTATCATTTTTGGTATCCGCTACATTCTCAGCTTCTCCAGACTTGCTCTGAGGCACTGGTTACTTCGTCATCAAAAGAACAGTT